TTAACATGCATCATAGTATCTTGCCAAATTTTTTGCTAGATTACACCAAAGTAGGAGCAACCCTTTCTAGATACGTTGCGAATGAGACCCTCAGGTATATGGTATTTAGTTTTGAACACACATACCCACAATGTATTAGGTTAGGCTAGGCTACTATTTTGTAAGCCAATTTCAAGAGAAAGGATTTGTTTTATGCTTCTAGTGAAATAATTTCACGACCTCCATGATCTACACAAGTTGGCATAAATCCTTCCAATTAACTAGATTGATACCATGGTGATCATCCAAATACCCCAAAATGAATTTTCTGATTATTTTTCAATATTAGAACAATAGGTCTTTGGGAGCATAGTACTCCACATTGTGTAAAGTGGGATAGAGGAGAGGAGTGACTTAGCCAGAGTAATTCTTTCAGCTAAGGATAAATATTTAGACTTCCATCCAGAGAGCTTTTGCTGTAACTTTTCTATGATATAATTATAAGTATGCGTGGTGACTCACCTAGTAATGAGTGGCACACCAAGGTATCTTCCAAGGGATTCAGTACATTAGAAGACTAGCAGTTGGCAAATAGCATTGCTCATAGAAGTTGGAAAATCTTTAGAGAAATAGATTTGAGTTTTGTGATAGCTAACGTTCTATCTTGAAGAAAGGCAAAATTGATTCAAAACTCTCTGGATGACAGTGATTTAAGCAGCAGAAGTTTCACTGAAAAGCACAAGGTCACCCACAAAAAACAAATGCGAGAGAGGAATACCTCTACCTAGCTAAATAGTCTGCCAGTTCTTTTTATTTACTTTAGCAATAATAGCTTACGAAAGTCTTTCCATACACAAGACAAAGATATATGGAGATAGAGGATCTCCTTGGCAAATACCTCTTTGAGGAGAAAAGGATCTTAGTGGCTTATCCTTCCAAAGAACCTGCATAGTAGGTGTTGTAATACATTACATTATGGTAGAGATCATCCTTGGGGGTAAACCAATATCTTTAAGAGTGTCTTCGATGAAGTCCCATCTAAACTTGTTAAAGGCTTTTTCTAGATCCACTTTAATGGCCATCTAACCTTTCTTTCGGGCTCGCTTCCTTATTCAATGCATCGCCTCTTGTGCTATAATAATGTTGTCAATGATATTTCTGCCTTGGATGAAACTTGTTTAAAATAGTAGGATTACATTTGGTAGGATAATTTTCAGTCGATTAGCAACTACTTTAGTGATCACAGAGCAAAGACTGATTGGCCTGAATTCCTTTATATATTGAGGCTTGTTAACCTTAAGAATTAAGGCAATGAGTGTATGATTTGACATTAAGTCCAGATTTCTACCAAGCCAAACATGATTGATAAGGGAAAAGAGACTAGATCCTACAGTCTCCCATGAGCTTTAGAAAAAAAGTGCGTGTAAGCCATCGATCCTAGGGGATTTGAGTGGTTTCATGTCAAAAAGAGCTTGCTTGACCTCATAAATAGTTATCATTCAATTTAACTCAGAGAAAGTTTAGTTTGAGAGTTTGGGGAACATACCTGAAACACCATAAGGAGTGTAACTATCATTTTCCAATGAGCACAAATTCTTGAAATAATCAGTGACTAGGTCTAAGAGTTTGTTATCATCATTGATCCACTCACCCTAATCACAACGAAGCTAGTTAAATTGATTGTGATGGTGATTGAGGATAGCTTTAGTATGAAAGAATAAGGTGTTTCAATCTCTAAGGTAAAGCCAATCAGAGGTTGATTTTTAGAGCCACAAGATTTCTTTGTTGAAGCAAACATCTTCAAATTCATCTCGAAGATCTTGTTCTAAAGTAAGAAAGAAATTCAAATAAGGGGAGGTTTCAAGCTTCTTTTGAACTCCATTCAGATATGATAGCAATCTTCGTTTCCTTTTACCGGTATTCCCAAAGACATTGAATTCTATTGTTGGGCTTTTCTTGTGAAACAAGCCATATTCTTAGTAATGTTCTTATATGAGTCCCAACAACTCTTAACAAACTTAGGTAAATTTGAATGTGTGATCTATGCAGCTAAGAACTTGAAGGAATGAGTTCTATAAGGATCATGGAAGCCTTAATTAATCAAAATGGGCCTATGGTTAGAGAGCAACTTGGGTAGTGGTCCACAGTGTTATTACTAAAGAGATTAACTCATGGCTAATTAGCTATGCCTCTATCTAGGCGGATCATGAGAGCTCCTCGCCTTTATGTGTATTTTAGGCTACTAAAGCCCAAGTCAATTAGCCCTATTTGATATAGGAAAGAGCTAAAAGATTTGCAGCCCAATCTTTTAGGATTAGTAGGTCTAGAGTAATCAATGGTAGAAAGTATAGCATTGAAATCACCTGCTAATAACTAAAGGCATGTGAAATTAGGTGCAAGAAAGGAGAGATCATGCCAGTTATACCATTTGGCTTGGGGGCTACCATAAATAGCAGAGAAAAGGAATGTTCTGGAGTTGTTCAACATCGTGACTTCAAAGTGTATGAATTGAAAGTGGTTAGATAGGATTTGAATAGTTGTTTTATGGTTCCATAATAACCATATTTCTCCCAAAAATCCTAACACTTCCATACTATGTGAGTGAGGGAAACCCAACTTTTTCATGACTGCATTAGCTTTAGTCCTTGAGATCCGAGGTTCCATTATAACAAAAATATCTACTTTGTAACTTACAACTAAAGCTTTAATTGTAGAAGGGATTCTTTCATCAAGAGACCCTTGGCAATTCTAGGTTATGATCAACATAAAAAGGTTGATTTATTGCTCAAGGGCTAAGCAAAAATCTACCCCTTCCATTAACATCTCAATGTTGGTATCTATAACCTTCTTTATAGCTTTCTTATACATCTCTGGTAATCTCTTTCATAACTCTAACTGATGGGCCCACCACATTCTTATTGGGCTTATTCTTGGGATTGTGGATATGGAGTACAGATGAGAGTTTAAATCCACGTGCATCCGCTTTAGGATCAGGAGGCTTAGGGTTTGAGATAGGCTGATATGGATTGGCGGTGTTGGTCATATGGATCGAGATCGAAGTGGATAGCTGATTGTGATTCCTTATAGTTGTTTTCTAGGTGGGACCCAAATATTCATGGTATTGAAAACCGGAGCGGACCAGCCAGGTCAACCTAAAAACTGATGATTCAGTCCCTTGTCTGATCTGGGTTAACTCCTAAACCGATGAGGGAGTAAACCGGTGTAACCTGGTCAACCCGGGGTCAACTTGGTATAACTCGGATAACCTGGTGGGTTGACTGGGTTAACCAGGTCATGATTTTTCAGACAAAAATCCCCAAAATGACGTCATTTTAGGGGATTTATTTTTTTTATTTTCTTTCGATCCAAATCCAGAGCCTATCAAATGAAGCCTAGATTTTGGATTGCAGACGCGGACGCCAGACAACATCAGCTTTCCCTTTCATGAGTTTCATATGTGTCTCACTGTCTCTCCTCTCTCTCACCCTAATCAGCGTCCGACTCTTCGACCCTCCTCTCTCGCCTTTCCCTGTCTCTGACCATCCGTCCTCTCTAACTCTCTCTCTATCTCTGCTGTTCGGTCTCTCCTTTAACTCAGTGTATGACTTTCGTCTCTTAGCCTAATCGATCTGAAATCTCAGTCGGTCAGTTTGTGACAGCTCGATGGATGTAGCTCGCATTTTACTTCAAGTTAGTCACTGTTGATTGTGCTCAACTCTATTTTTTATTTCGTGATTCAACTTAAGTGGTCGACTCTGTTGCTTGTGATTTGTTTCTTGCTTGTTCGGCAGCTTAAGCTAATTTTTTATTGATTCAACTTGATTTAATCGACTAGACTGCAGAGGATTTTAATCCTAAGTGATTAGCTTAACAGTGATTTAATCAAGTTTAATTCTTGATAAATGAATAGAAAAGCTCTTGCAATTCCGACAATATAGCTTTAAAGAAACAAAACTGCAAGTAGTTATGCCTTTGTATTCAGATTTAAAAAGATATTAAAGCTGGTGGAGGTCAATAGGCATTGATTCATTTTTTTAATACACAGTAGGCAGTGATTCTTCATGTGCATAAACTAATATTATGGACAGTTTAAAGGCAATTTCTATCTTTTTAACATATACTTTGTGTTATCTGATAGGGAGATGATTTGCACGTGAATTGCTATTATATAGATTGCAATCTCAAGGCACATGTTATATCCTACGCTCAGGTTTGTACTGTGTGTGCATTTTGAAAATTTTGTGATTTTCTATCTTAATTTTGAACTACGGATTGCACTATGTTATAGATAGGGCATATCTAGCTTCTTATTTTTCCTTCTTTTTTTATGGCCAAACCTGAAAACTATGCAGTCAATACTGAATATGACTAATCAGCATTTGTGTGAAAAAATAAAATTAAAGCTTAGTCATTATTTTAGTTTACAGGTTAAAATATAATTATTGCATTGATCATGGATATTGGAAGTAATCCTAGTAGTGATAGAAATGAGAATCCTACCTCCAATTCTAATGATCCCCCTCCTAATAGTAATGATTCAACATCTGAGGCCCCATTTATGGGTGGAAAAACTGATCCTGCTTGGGCACATGTTGCCTTAAGAAAAGAAGGCAAGAAAAATATATATACTTGCCTTTATTATGCATCAAGCAATGGAGGAGGTGGGATTAACAGAATGAAGCAATATCTTGTTGGTGTAAGTGGTCAAGTAGCTTCTTGTAAAAAAGTTTCTCATGATGTACATCACAGGATGGTAGATTCTTTGAAAGGTGGGAGAAAAAGGAAGGTTGATGATAGAAAAGAACAAGAACAAGAACAAGAACAAGTAGATATAGGGGACCTTAAAACTAATGATCCAATTGCTCCTACTCCAATTAAGATAGTCCCTGAGAGAGGTGCCAATAAGAGGCAAGCTTCTACTATTTCAATTGAGAATTATTTTGCCCCTAGGACAACTCCTAGTTCCCAGCCTGGCATCAAGAGTGTGTTTGCAACAAAAGAAGCATAGTACAAATGCAAAAATGGCTATTGCTGAATGGGCTATCATCAATTGCATTCCATTTAATGTATTAGATTGCCCTTCATTTCAAAAACCCATAGATGTTATTGCTTCTATTGGGCCAGGGTTCAAAGCCCCTAATGCTTATGAATTTACAGTCAATTTGTTAACAGATTGGAAAAAAGAATGTCAATTACTTATTGAGAGTCATCGAGCTAAATGGAAAAACACTGGATGTACACTCATGGCTGATGGTTGGATAGATATGAGGCAGCAAACTTTGATTAATTTCTTAGTCTATTCTACACATGGAATGGTTTTTGTGAAATCTGTTGATGCTTCAGATTTGGTAAAAGATGCTAGGACTTTATTCTCGTTGTTCTGTGAAGTGATTGAGTGGGTTGGTCTCAAGAACATTGTTCATGTGGTGACTGATAATGTTGTAAATTATGTAGCATGTGGCAAGTTGATTAAGGAAAAATATAAAAATATTTATTGGTCACCTTGTGCTGCTCATTGTTTGAACCTTACTTTAAAAGATATAGCAAGCTTAGACAATGTGTCAGCACTTGCAACTAAGACATCAAAGATAACTATTTTTGTTTATAATCATATGATCTTCTTGTCATGGCTTAGGAAAAGATCAGATTGGAAAGAAATTGTACGTCCTGGTCTAACAAGATTTGCTACTACATTTATCACATTGCATAGCATATATATGCATAAGCATGACTTGCAAGCTTTGGTGACTGATAAGCACTTTGTGGATCACAAATTGTCAAAGACTCAAGCTGGAATAATTGTTACTGCCATCATATTAGATAATGACTTTTGGGGTGATTGCTTAGAAATTGTGAAGGTTGTGTCTCCTCTTATAAAGTTGTTGAGAATTGTGGATTCAAATGAGAAGCCTTCTTTGCCTTATGTTTATGAAGGCATGCAAAGGGCAAAAACAGCAATTAAGGCAACATTCAACAATAAGAAAGATTATTACAAGCCTTACACAAGCATTATTCAAGCTCAATGAGATAAGCACTTTAAGACAAATCTTCATGCAGCGGCATATTTGTTGAATCTTGCATTCTTGTATGATGAGAATTTTGTTCACAAGAGAAGGTTAATGGATGCAATGCTTGATGTGTTTGAGTCAAATGAAAGTGAAGAAATTGATTATATTGTGATGATGAAGTATTTGAGCTTGTATTGTGATTGTAAAGAATCTTTTAACAAAACTTCATGTGAAAGAGCAACCCAGAAATTAGATTCTTGTGAGTATTCATATTTATTATTTAACATGTCCATGGTAATTCTAGTTATCATATGATTAACATCTAACTAAATGTCTTTTATTTGTAGATGAATGGTGGTCATTCTATGGAGGATCTGTTCCAGAATTGCAAACTCTTGCAATGCGTATTCTTAGCCAAACTTCTTCTTCTGGCTGTGAAAGAAATTGGAGTTTGTTTGAACGCATCCATATCAAAAGACAAAATAGATTACAACATCAAAAATTGAATGATTTGATTTTTACAAATTATAATTTGCGATTGAAGCATAGGTAAGAATTAGAGTCTTAAATGGCAATGCTTTTGTAATTTATAATTGAATATGAATTTTATTATTGTTTATCATATTTGATTGCTTTATTTTTTTCAAGGAGTCAATCGAGGAAAAATAAAAGTTATGATCCCATTGATTATGAATCAATTGACAAAATTGATTTTTGGGTGGCTGAAGAAGAGGAAGAGCCAACCCCTAAGTTTGATTCTCAAGAAGTTGCAAATCTTGAAAGTGTCATTCACAATGAAACCATAGCTACTCTATTAACCCTTGAGAGGAATTATGAAGGTTTATTAAATTTACTATCATGTCTAATACAAGTATATGAATTCTTTGAAATGCCATTCATTAGTATTAATTTCTGTTTGTTGTAGGTGATGAATATATAAATGTTCTAGAGCCTCTATCTTTGCCTGATGTTGCTAGTGGTTCTGGTTTTTCTCATTCCAGTCCTAATGTCTCAATACCTGGAGATTTGAATGAAATTAATGATGACTTTGGTGTTGGTCAATATTAGTTACCATAGACATGTTAATCATATGATGGAAAGGTTGTAATTATAAGGATAGATATTTGAAGTATTGTATTTGGTTGAATATTTTTATAATTAATGTCTTTTTATTTAAATTATATTATTTTAATCATAACTGGTTTGTCATGGGTTCAACCCCCAATTCAACCCTAATTGAACCACTAACCCGTGACCCAATGTCATGACCGGTTCAATGACCAGTTCGGTTTTACGTACCTTGCAAATATCTTTGATAACAACCACTGAGTGTGTTTCTTGATTCAAAGATGTGGTTGTCTACACTGCTTTGTAAGCTGTCGGATTGAAAATAGAATCCTTATTGGGAGTCGTCATAGAAAGCTCTTTTTGTTTGTTTCCTGAATCTACTTTTTGTTGCTGTGCTGCTCTTTTCTATTTTGCCTGGCAACAGGAGGATGGCTTGGAGGGACAATTCGCACATAATTGTACACTTCTTGTCCTTGCTTTTCCATGTCATCAGCTTTCTCAAGAACACCATACCGTGAGTGGGTTGTTATGCCGGCACCATAACCACTATCATCTTTGCGTGCCCTTTTGTACGTACTATCATATCTGCACCTTTGTCGGAACGGTTGTTGCATCCATGAATCGTACTTTGACTTGGTTAATTCATCTTCTATTACCGGAGTTGTAGTGGCAGTTGTTCGTGGTAGTTGCACCATTGTGTTCTCCACTTTCTCCAAGCAACGCTGCTCCAGGTGGCAATAACGACCATAATGAAAGCATATCTAAGGTAGACCTTCATACTAGACGTAAATTATTTCCCCATCAACTTGGATCTTGGAAGTCAGAGGCTGGATGAGATCTATGGCCACAACCATCTGAGCAAATTTCCCTTTGTCTCCTGAATCTGTGTTTATAGTTAATGCGTATTACCTTACCAAAAATGCTACCGATAAAGTGGATAATACTTTTGTGGTAATAGTGAGCCGGCAAGCTTGAGAGTCTAACCCAACCTACTATTTGATTAATAACATGCTCCTGAGGTTTGAAGGATTCCGTCCATGGTTGAACTGTTAGGTAATGGCGAATAACCATCCAAGGGTCAGTGGACAACACCTTTTGGAAGTCTACTTCATCTCTAAACCTTGATTATGAAACATTCTTCGTCAAGGTCTTGAAGCTGGAACTGACCTGAGGGCTTCCAAATGTTTTGCAGTTGATTCTTCAGTTTTTGATAACCAATTCTTCATCCCAACAATTTGACCACGATAGCAAATCCCATTTTCCTATTTAAAACCTCAAGCACTTGGTTTGAAAAAGTTACCATTGGGATGCCATCTTTCATGCTGATGGTAACGTCTCCCTTGCCTAACTTGATGTGATCCTTATCTTCCTTAGTCCCATCAGCTCTCTTTCCAGAGCCCAGCAGTTTATCTTTGAAAGATGGAATTCTAGTTGTTGGTTGAACTTCAAAAGCTACTGTCTTAGTCTTAGGCTTCGTCTGTGTCTCAGAAGTTTTCATTGGAATAGCAGTTGGTTGCATGGCTTCCTCTGCAGGCATCATGGAAACATCATCACCCTTTTGGTTCATAAGGGCCGCGGCTAGAAACTCAGCAACAGAGGGCTGGGATTCATCAACTGACATCATAATGATACTAGCTTCCTGGGTTTTAGGAACAAACTCAGAGTGTTCAGTGGTTGAAATGTGAGATTCATCGTTGAAGGAAGTGAAGTAGCTAATATCCTCCATGGCGTTGTCTTCTGCTTCATCGCGAAGTTTGCATTTTTTGTCGAACGATCAACTTGTAGAAGCGGTAGTGGTTCGCCCTTTGGGAGACTCTTGATACTCTCCGTCTTGTGGCTCAAAATGAATTTGCTCATTTACAATGGAGCCAAGTACTCAGTTCAACAGGTCATCAAGGAGTTGAATGAAAAATAATGAAAATTTTAATTTCCTCAAAGATTGCAGGTAGCTGGGAATCTAAACATTAAATTAAGAATCCTTCCACATTCAGTATAAACATCTCTTATTTGAACAGGTCTTTAATTTACTTAAGACTTGAAACCTCATATCTGACATGGGATAATAAGATCTAGAAATTTAAAAGAAAAAGAGCATCCTACTATCAATGTTATATCCTCTACAATGAAGAAGAACTTCAAAGTCTGATGTTCCGAAAATCTACTTTCTTCCAACCAGATCAATTCATGGAATCATGTATTAGAAGATTATTAATTTGGATCAGAAACTTCAACCTGTAATTGGGAGATCAAAAGATCAATATTACGCCCTTAAAATTTTCTTCAACAAAGGACTTAGTCTTGGAATCTATAATAATGTAATCAATTTTCTCTTAAAGCATTTTAATAGTTGTGTTTTTGTGAAGTCCAGTCATACTACACATGTCAAAATACTTCCCTATCTTTTTTTTTCTTCTTAGTTCTTCTGTTATTATTTTGATTTCCTGGCTTTGCTTTTGTTTTTCTGTTTTTCTGTTAATATATGTTGATATTTTTTAATTAAAAAAGAAAGAAAGAAGAGGAGCTTTTTCGCTGCATTTATAAAAAATCAACGCATCATCAGGTGACTTGCATCTTCTTTTCTTTTTGGTGCAATGCTATTAATTTTTTAATATTATCCTTTTTTATTGAAAAAATATAATATTTAGTCCCTATAGTTTTATTAGATTATGCTTTTAGTTCTTATAGTTTTTTTCTATGTTTTCAATCCCTACAACAACTAAAATCACTAAAAAAATTAAAACTATAGGAACCTGAAAAACAAAGGTTACTCAATCTTTCTAAAATTATTAGGATTAAAAATATTGAAAAAAACTACAAGGATTAAAAATAAAATCCGATCAAACTATAAAGATCAAATATTGTGTTTTTCCTTTTTTATTCTATCAAATTGTACCAGTAATTTCCATATCCATTTTATTGTGATCATTAATTTTAATAAAAGGAAAAATTGGAAAGTCTAATATTTAATTTGTATAAACTTAACAATATGAATTACCATTCCTTAATGATGGTGAAGCTAATTAACTTTTCCAAGAATTACGATAAAGGGACTAGCTATTAACTACTCGATTTGTGCAGTATTATAAAGCACCTTCAATTTTTTAACTGAATTGCACATGAGTTAGTTAATTGTTTTAAAAATTATAATTTTTTTATGTTTATCCATAGTTAAAATCTTACTAATTACACTTTATAATTAAAAATATTTTTCAAAAATCTTATTAATTTTACTTTAAAAGACTCAAAATGTTTTATTTTTTTACAAGAAACTTTAAAAAAATGTTTTATAATATTAAATGGAATATTAAATGGAATAAATAATTAGTGAAGTAGGAAGTGAAAACTCAGGAATAAATAGTAGATACAAATATTGTTGTCAAACTCTCGAGTTATTTTTACAAATGTATTATTTTTATATTTTTAACTTATAAAATTGTGTTAACTCGTTCATAAACTTAAATTAAATAAAACTCTATTAAACTCACAAATTGGCTTTTTAAATTTACTATTTTTACGTTTCTAATTTATAAAATTGTGCCAATATGTTCATAAACTTGCTGAGCAAGATATTGTATATTGTGTAGAATTTGATTCATAAAAGCGGTAAAACCTGATTTAATGAAAAATAAAGCACAAAAAATATTAATATTAATATTAATATTAATAAAAAATAGCAAAAATAAGTTGCCCTCTTTTAAAATTTTTATATTGAGTATAATAATTTATGAATGTAGATAGATTTAACTTCAATAATTTACATTTAAAAGATATTTAGATTCAAGTATAATCATATTTTATATTTTAACTATTTAATTGTGTACTTTTAAAAATTATTTATTAATAAAATTAAATTTTTATGAGTTTTAAATTTACATCCTTATCACAAATTTATTTAAATTTATGAATTTAACAACCCTACCCACAAACAAAGCTAGAAACGTACAGATTTT